GATTTACTAAAAGTAATGGAGTGGATTTACTAAAAGTTATGGGGTGGATTTACTAAAAGTTATGGGGTGGATTTACTAAAGGTAATGGGGGTGGATTTACTAAAGGTAATGGGGTGGATTTACTAAAGGTAATGGGGTGGATTTACTAAAGGCACATGGACTGAGCACTTTGCAAGTGCAGTTTCTCCAGAGCTTAGTAAATGTTGGGAGCTCTGCTGACTTCCATCATCCAATCATGTGCAAACAAAAATGCTGTTTTTTTTCCTCCTAGCACAATTGGGGACTCTTTGTAAAGTGAAGATTTACCTCATTTACCAAGCTCTGGAGCAACTTGCAAAGTACACAGACTATTTGCCTTAAAGTAGAACTATAGACAGCACTTTTTTTTTTTTTAATTTTGTAAGTGAGTGTTATAGCCCCTGTCAGGTTTTTTTTCCATTTTTGTCCCATTGGAGAGATTTACCTTCACTTCCTGTCCCATAGCAAAAACTCTATTACTGTTCTGGGGACAACCCAAAATGTGGGATTTTCTTTTCTTTCGCTTTCAACGATAATGGTAAACAGGACAAATAAAGAGGGTGAATCTTTCTAACGGGGGTACGGACAGCAATAAAAAATCTGACAGGGGTTTTAATTGACCTCCACTCTATCCAAAACAACAAAAAAGTTTTTATTTTTTTTTATACTTTATATAAATCAACCCTAATAACTTCCATATTTAGGTTTCTATGCATTATTGTTGAGAGAATAGTCCAAAAAGGTAGAGATGACTCAAAATTGGCTAATATATTTTTATATTCCTTGCATACCGCATGCTTGGACCACTACTTAATTGCCGCATGAATTTATTTATTTCCTTTTGTGAATTGGTTTTAACTCCTTTTTATGCGGTACTTACTAAGCTTTTTGCGATAAATACTGCCAAAAAAAGGCATAGTGAATTGACAATTTCAGGATCGCATGCGATATTTTGGGAAAATGTGTCCGGACACCTAAATACTGCTCGCGATCTGCTCTTGTGAATGGATCCCTAAGTCTCCTCCATGTTTCTGTCGTCCAGCACTTGGCTACACATGCTATGGCAATGAACATTACAAAATGCTGAGCATGTAAATCTCTATGAATTGGCCATACTTTGGAAATTCACTTGACCTGATGCACCATTGAAGACCCTGTGTTGGCTGCTAATGGTACTCTTTCATCCACTGTTAGGCAGATTTGCTACCATTCAACATGTCCTTTAAGCGTGTCAACCTTAATGTCCCATTAAAGGATAAGTTCACTTTTTACAAAAAAAATAATAAATGCGCATCTTTTTGTCTTTTTTTTGTAAAAAAAAATAATTTGCATTCATTATTTTTTTTATATTAGTCTTTAAGGCATTACACTCACAATTGGCACACAGTAAGATGTCTGCCCATACCTTGACTGGGCAGGCAGTTACTGAATGGCAGGAAGAATCAATGGACTATGAGAGTGCTCACCAGAGCCCTCGTAGTCTATTGAGAACTACAAGCTGTCAGCCACAATGGCTGACTGTATTTTTAGGCACCAGTTATTATTATTATTATTATTATACAGTATTTATAAAGCGCCAATAGTTCACTCAGCGCTGTACATTACAAAGGGGGACAGAACATGTGACAGAACAATACCAATACAATGCAAAACATGAGGGGATTGAGGGCCCTGCTCTTTGGAGCTTACAATCTAGGAGGGAGGGGATAGTGGCACAGGAGGAGATAGCTGTGGGGGATGGAGTGGTAGGAAGAGTGGAGGAGGTCGGCAAGTTAGCAGGGGGTGGGGTAGGCTTCCCTGAAGAGATGGGTTTTCAGGGTGTGCCTAAAGGAGAGGAGAGTAGGTGATAATCTGATGGGTTGGGGAAGGGAGTTCCAGAGGATGGGTGACACCCTGGAGAAGTCCTGGAGGCGGGCATGGGAGGAGGAGATCAGGGAACTAGAGAGAAGGAGGTCTTGTGAGGAGCGGAGTGTGCGTGTTGGGCGGTACTTGGATATTAGGTCAGTGATGTAGTTCGGGGCAGTATGGTGGACAGCTTTGTACGTCAGTGTTAGGATTTTGAATTTGATCCGTTGCGCAATCGGAAGCCAGTGGAGGGATTGGCAGGGGGGGGTGGCGGAAACGGAGCGGTTGGAAAGGTGAATGAGTCTGGCTGCCGTATTCAGGATCGACTGAAGCGGGGATAGCCAGCGGCGAGGCAGGCCAGTGAGGAGGGAGTTGCAGTAGTCGAGTCGTGATATGATGAGGGAGTGGATGAGTAGGTGCGCTGTTTAGTGGTTTCTGGGGCTAATTCACAGGAAATGAATGATGCTGCCATGTAGATGCCACTTTTTTAAAATTGTAACAGCGGGTGCAGGCAGAAGATCCCCCACCTACTGCCACAGGGACGGGGATCGGGGAGAGAGGAGGCAGGAGTTGGAATATGTTACAAGTTCCAACCTAAATACGAGTTCCAGAAATTTTACTTATCCTTTAAGGCTCAACTTCAGGCACAAAGCTAAACACTAAGATGAAATATACACTCACTGGCCGCTTTATTAGGTACACCTTGCTAGTGCTAAGAAAATATCCCCCACATAATCACACCACCAGCCTGAACCGTTGCTACAAGGCAGGATAGATCCATGCTTTCATGTTGTTTACGCAATGTTGACGCAACCAATCTGCCCATTCTCCTCTGATCTCTGACATCAACAAGGCATTTTCATCCACACAACTGCAGCGCACTGGATATTTTCTCTTTTTCGGACCATTCTCTGTAAACCCCAAAGATGGTTGTGCGTGAAAATCCCGGCAGATTAGCAGTTTTTGAATTACTCAGATCAGCCCATCTGGCACCAACAACCATGCCATGTTCAAAGTCACTTAAATCCCCTTTCTTTCCCATTCTGATGCTCGATCTGAACTTCAGCGAGTCGTCTTCACCCCGTCCACATGCCTAAATGCATTGATTTGCTGCCATGTGATTGGCTGATTAGCACTTTGTGTTACCAAGCAATTGAACAGGTGTACCCAATAAAGTGGCTGGCGAGGGTATATATGGGAGCTGTTCTACCTGCCAATGGATTTTTATTTCAGTTCAACCAGTTCAGAGATTTACACAGCCCTGGCACACAGCAAAGCCCTGTCTGACAGGATAGGAAGCCTGCAGTTAAAGAACACTTTACAGATCTTGTCCTTTCCCCTGACTCATGACTTGGACAGTAAAAGGAGAAGTGCTAAGTGCTACAGCACAGCTGACTGTTTCCTCGCAGTGTGAGCTTTACTGTACATGGAATTTCAAGAGCTGATACCAGGTCAATTTCTTAGATCTAAAAAATTAATGTAACCATGTAATTATGAATAGAGCTTTGTATTTGTATCTTTTATATGCGCTGCACAAACTGTTGGCGCTATAAAAATCCTGTATTATAATAATAATAATGTGCCTGGAGTTCACCTTTATGCACTTCAGGGAATTGATATTTGATAGCTGAATATAACCTGACTCAGTCTAGAGCAGTGGTTCTTAAAGGTTAAGTTCACCTTTGGATCATGTTTCATCATCTGCAGCCTCTCCCGTCTGATCCCGACTCCCTGTGACAGCGGGTGGAGGATCCTCTACCTGCACCCACTGTCTTAATTTGAAAACAGCATGGCTGTGTGGGGCTCTGACGGGCACGTAATTCATTCATGGTTTCCTGTGAATGTATGCTGACAAGTACCATCAGCCATTGTGGCTGATGGCTTGTAGTTCTCAATGAACCACAAGGGCACTGGTGAGTGCTCTTTTAGTCCATAGATCTACCTGCTCTCAAGTAACTGCCTGCCCATAGGAGGTATGGGCAGACAGCTATTGTGAAAGTCTGCAGGAGCTTGTGCCCTGCAATCTGCCAATACTCTGCAGGCTACTGAGAAAAAAGTTAATATATGCACATTTTTTTATCTGCACAAAATGTGCATTTATTATTATTTTTTTCAAAAAGTGAACATATCCTTTAACCTTTTTGAGTCACAAACTCCTTTAACCCTTTGAGGACCAAGGGACGTATTTGTCCCAGGTTTTTAATTGCGTGTATCATCTGATTAAGAACTTAAAACTTTTTTTTTTTTTTTGGTTTGAGTCAAAATATTAGTTCTTATCAACAAACAACAAATGGATCTAGCTTTTTGCTAATTATTTCATGAAATGGCTTAGTTACAGAAACTGATGTGTACGAACTTTAAAAACAAAAAAAATTGATTCTTTTGGCGTTCCAAAACCTTACGGTCCTCAAAGGGTTAAGAATTTGATGAAAGCTATGGACCTCCCTGATGATACAAATTTAAATAATAAATATGGACCAACAACGAGTCAAGAGACTTTTAGCAGCAGGGTACGTTTTCTTTGATTTCTTTCAATAGGAAACCATTGGAACAAAGTGAAGGACTGTATAGTGAGTATAAATGTTTTTTTATCTGACCCTCGCAGACCTCCTGAAATCCATCCATGGACCAATTATGGCTCCATGGACCCCAGGTTAAGAACTCCTGGTCTGGACCTACACACTGATGTTCAAATCTAACCAGTGATGATATTTTGTACTGACCTCAAATTTCCATGCTGATGTGGTCCTCATGCAATTTCTTATAGCATCTTGCAGTTTCTATCCAAATCAGGGCACTTTATATATTGCTATGTCAAATTGCACCATACTTGGAACCCAGCTGACAATATCAAGGTTGCCTCTGAGAGACATGGCCTAGATTAGCAAGGTCATGACCTGTTTTGTATAGATAGAGATTACAGAAAACCATTACCTACTATGGGAGAGAGCAACTGTGTAGATAGTTACATATATACAGTGATTTATCGTACTGTATATATTTTGGTTTTAACTTATATTATTACATCATAAATAAAAGGTACAGGGTGTGTTCATTGTTCATCTGTAATATTATTCCTAATAATCTATGACCCATAATAAATTTATTGTTGTGTCATGTTTGCTCTGTTCTTCCAGATGGAGAAATCACTTCCAAACCAATGGTTTTATTTTTGGGACCGTGGAGTGTTGGCAAATCCACCATGATCAACTACCTCTTGGGGTTGGAAGAAACACCCCATCAACTGTACACAGGTAACGTTAGTGTTTATTTTGCTGGTATCAAGAAATGTATTGGGTTTTCTGTACTATTAAAGGCAATAAAGCAATCTTGTTAACTTTTGGCAGGTGCTGAACCCACAACCTCTGAATTCACTGTCCTTATGCATGGGCCAAAGCTAAAGACGATTGAAGGCATTGTGATGGCTGCCGACAGTAGTCGTTCCTTCTCTCCACTGGAAAAATTTGGGCAGAATTTTCTGGAGAAGTTAATAGGCATTGAAATTCCCCACAAACTTCTTGAGAGGGTCACATTGGTGGACACCCCCGGTATCATTGAAAATCGCAAACAACAAGAAAGAGGTTAGAAGATTTATTGGAAGTGCCAGCATGTCTTTTTTTATAACAGTTTAAACAAACACTACAATCTTCTGTGTTTACAGCTATTTTCTATTCATTTATCTCTGTAGCTCAAATCTGCCAAGCTCAAATGTCTCACACTTGTTTGATAAAACAATATGAAATTCAATAGGTTACTATACTTTACCATTTTATGATCAAAACTTTATTTTGCAGGTTATCCATTCAACGATGTCTGCCAGTGGTTTATTGACAGAGCTGATCTTATCTTTGTGGTATTTGACCCAACCAAACTGGATGTTGGTCTCGAGTTGGAGATGCTCTTCCAACAGTTGAAAGGACGTGAGTCTCAGATCCGTATTATTCTAAATAAAGCTGATAGTCTGGCAACACAAGAGCTCATGAGGGTGTATGGAGCTCTCTTCTGGAGCTTGGCTCCTTTGATCAATGTGACTGAGCCACCAAGAGTCTATGTCAGTTCCTTCTGGCCACAAGATTACCAACCTGAAACACACAGAGAACTGTTTCTTAAGGAAGAGATCTCTCTACTAGAAGATCTCACCCAAGTAATTGAAAATAGAATTGAAAACAAGATTGCCTTCATCCGCCAGCATGCTATCAGAGTCCGAATCCATGCTTTGTTGGTTGACCGCTACCTTCAGACTTACAAGGACAAGATGACCTTCTTCAGTGATGGTGAATTGGTCTTTAAAGACATTCTTGAGGACCCTGATAAGTTCTTCATTTTCAAGTCTATCTTGGCCAAAACAAATGTCAGCAAGTTCGATCTTCCAAACCGAGAGGCCTACAAGGACTTCTTCGGAGTAAACCCAATTAGTAGCTTCAAGCTTCTATCCCAGCAATGCTCATATATGGGTGGCTGTCTGATGGAGAAGGTTGAGAGGGCCATTACTCGTGAACTTCCAGACCTACTTGGCAGCGTCAGCAAAAAGCCTCAAAGCCTTAACTGCGATGTGACCGGATGTGGGGAAGCCCCAAAGAACCGTTACAAAAAACCTTAACTTCTCTCCATCCTATGCCTTCTCATATTTAAAAATGAAAAATAAAAAAACACAGTATTTCAACAAAATATGAAGGTCCTGCGATCTTTTAGTGATGGCATTAATTATCATGCACTTGACCTGTCAAGGAATAAAGCAGAAATGATAAACAAAGATTCTTCTTGTCATAGAAGAATGAATTCATTACTAGTCACTCTGGTGCTGAAGGAAGATATAAGCAAGAAAACTAAAGGAGCCAATACCACTGATATTGTTTCAGCAGTGCAGACAACTGTTATTCCAATCTTACCATGTTGGTTTGATCTTTGCCTCCCAATAACAACACCATACCGGTTGTGAATGTACAAGGTTTACAAGGAATTCCAGTTACCTGCAAAACTCTCTCTAACACCCTCTAACATACCGGTCCATTTGCTAGTGGCCTTAATTTTAAACTGGAACTTTATTTTGTAACCTGCATCCTATCAAACCCTGGGGATGTGTGTTAAATAATCCAGATGGTGACAACATCAAAGCTTCCTTACCCCAAAACCACAATTTTACTCTTTCCAGCACCACAGTGAAGTACACAAAATGTCAGCAGACAAGATAGTGGGATGTTAACAAAATAGCTGCCATGTGCGGTCTCAGAAATCAGATTACATTGATCATTACCTAATTGGTGATAAAATTTGTTTAATTTGGTTGGATACGTTGATGTTCTAATAGTTAAACAATCTTAAAACTATACCTATGACAACAGTATCAACTGTTGCTCATATAAAATAGAATTGGTGCCGAAACAAAGACCATTGCTAAGAATGCCCAAGTCTCACCTTTTTTATAACAGTTTGATTACACTTTACCTCATCCCACAATATTGGTATACTTCCAAATCTATCCCTGTCCTGGGCTTCAGAATGAGCAGGGTTTATCAATAGTAGGCTTGGTTTTTCCAAATATGTGAAGACTGGCGAAGGCCAAAAATATCTCATAGATATCATAGATATAGTTACAAATCAATAGATAGTAAAATAAAATGTTGTTGTATTTATTAGCTTGAGTTTGGTATTGTAGAAGTGACCAGTCTTGTCCCGGTGTCTGATTTTGTATTTTTGTCCATTACATTTAATATGCTTGGCTAACATCTGACGGAATGAAAACCTGATGAAGGGGCACCACCTGGGATATGTACACTTTTGACCTGAATTTAAAAAAAAAAAAACACATGGGCCTATTTAGATAATAGTTAAATATCAATACAAATTCCAGTAATGTTGACTTAAAGGAAATCGGTGAGTTTCCTGTCTATCTGTCACCGTGTACTTCCTGTTGTGTGTTAAATGCAGCTAACAGTTATAGGTATTAGGTTGGTTGGACTATGGATAACATAAAAATATAGCCATACAGAATTCTAGTGTGAAAGAAAGGAAGTTAGAAAGCCAGATGGTTGACAAGGGTAATGGAAATGTGTTGTTAATAAAAAAGCGCAAACTTCCTGTTAGCTGCGCATGGTTGAGGGAGCCATTTTGTTGAACACTGACGTCCATTTCTTTCAACAGTTTAGGAGAAGCCTTTTAAATTACGAATACTATGCTGACTGAATAAAAAGAATAAATGGTTGCTGGACTCACAAAAAAGGCTGCCATCTTTCAACATAATTGACTGGTGCTCTTAGAAAAGGTAATAAATGACTAGTAAATTGTATATTGGAGCAGACATTTAGTTAAAGGAGGCAGCTGATCTATAAAAAAAATCTTCTTTATTGGAACAATTCTGACTTTGAGACTCTTGTAGGGCTTACGGTTTTGACTACAGGTAGATCTGACTTTGAGACTCTTTAGGGCTTATGGTTTTGACTACAGGTAGATCTGACTTTGAGACTCTTGTAGGGCTTACGGTTTTGACTACAGGTAGATCTGACTTTGAGACTCTTGTAGGGCTTATGGTTTTGATATAGGTGGACCTTTTGAGACTCTATAGGTGGACCTGACTTTGAGACTACTTACGGTTTTGACTACAGGTAGATCTGACTTTGAGACTCTTGTAGGGCTTATGGTTTTGACTACAGGTAGATCTGACTTTGAGACTCTTGTAGGGCTTACGGTTTTGACAACAGGTGACCTGACTTTGAGACTCTTGTAGGGCTTACGGTTTTGACAACAGGTGGACCTGACTTTGAGACTCTTGTAGGGCTTACGGTTTTGACTACAGGTAGATCTGACTTTGAGACTCTTGTAGGGCTAATGGTTTTGACTACATGTGGATGGACATGGGCAATGTGTAAATAGTTCTGGACAGATCTTAAACCTGTTCTGAATTTAGTTTTTTATAGGTATAATGTTTGACAACATTGAGTAACACTATAGCGGCCAATTTTGAACAATGTCTTTAAACCCTGCAAAGTCACTCCATAGCTTGGTCAGCATTTTGTGACCCATTCATAAAATGCAGGCCATGCTATGGAGCCAATTCGTCAAAGTCCGTGATTGGAGACAAGGCTGGCCACATGACTAACAGAACACATGATCAGGCTCTCCTATCAGCTTCCTTTTTTAAACTGCATTATAAATTGACCCCAAGTTTTTATAAAATCCTGCACATTCAGATCTTGATGGTATACGTAAGAAATGTGGATGGCCCTGTGACTGAAAGGGCTTGAAATAACTGTAGATCTCAACAATTTAGAAGCTCCCTTTCTTGTTTCCAGTAATGATTAAACATAAGAGGCTAAAACAAGTGACCATGGATGAGTACATTGATTTTTTGGGAAATTAATTTCATGGCAAAATTATCAGTTGCGCTACTGGTAAAATTTGACCAAAGCAGGAACTCGCTTGTGCTCATTATGCTGCTGGCGAAATATACTGTTCAGCAAACCCAATTATTTTCACCGCTCACAAGGCAGCCTGTATAATCCTCGATTCGCTGCAATCAGACGGGTGCCAAGGCCCAAAAGTCCACTTTTTCTCCACTGCAATCTCCCATCCAAATAGCAAGCTGCTCACCGAAAATGTTCAACTCCAACCAACGTTTATTGCAATGACAGCATGCAGCTAGCTCCCCCACCCATCATCTTCGGTGTGCAGCCCATTATTTGGATGGTGCTTGCAAAATTTGCTTGGAAATAGAAATGCTCTATTTTTTTTCTTTATGTAAAGGGTGTGGTTTTAAAGGGATGTATCTTGAATAGTTTATTACATTTAGTGTTCTTTTCTCTTTTTTGTGTATTTTCTGTATTGACGTTTCAATTTTTTTTTTACTTTTGCTGTTTTTTTTTTTTTTCTGTGAAAAAAAGTTACATAATGAGGTTTATAAGAAACCATATTTTTGTCATCAGAACAGGTCCAGGATAGGTGAAACAAACCTTTTGTAACCCTCAGTAGATATTTAAAGCCCATTGCACCCTTTAAAACCCACCGTGATTTCATCTTCCCTGTAGATTTTAATGCAACTTGCCAAAATGGCAAATGCCAAATTTTTGGGAAAGTGTTTAGGAATTTTTAAAAAATCAAATTTTCACTCATCCCCACAGATAACAGATATAATTTCTATGATTTTCTTCCAGTTACAAGGTCCATTCCCTTGCTAACCTGCTGCTCCAAAAGGGGTAAAGATGAACTCTCAGCAAAACTCCTATTGTCTGTATACTGTCTGTATAGGCGTTGGTTTCTTGATGTCTGTGTGTTCTACAAGATGGCTGCCTCCACTGTGTATATAAATGATGGATTCAGAAATGAGATTTGCAGTTGGTGGATACAGCAGGTGCCATTTCAATGGTCCAATAAATATAGCTGTCTTTTTTTTTTTTCTATCATTACACTTCTTTGCTCTATTATTACAGTCCTCTCATTGATCACTTCCTCTTAACGTACAATAAAAATGTTTGTGCTTGTTAACAAGAGTCTCTCTGTGATCTATTTTACTTATCAGACAATGCAGGGTTTGTGCGGCTGCAAAGTATTCCGCGGGCGATTCTATGTTTGAAGGGAAACTATCGATCAAACTGAAGTTGAGTTTACACGAAAGAGCACGTTGTACAACTGGACCGTCCATATGGGAAACGCTTCATGCTTTGAAAACACTGTAGATAGCACAGCTGGCATGTGGATTTTCCTGTTTATGCTAGAGGGGGGGCACGCTCATTTGTAAACCCTGTCAACTGAGTGACCACCATTGTTTCATTTGATAGCTTAGATTTTGTTTTGCATTATCAGCAATGGCAACAAAGCCAATGCTAAACACTACAAAGAAAATGAAGCAATAAATCTGGGGTTGGTACTGTGAATACGTAAGAATTATTTAATAAAAAACAACAACAAAGTGTAGCCACTAAAACCGATTAGTATCCATATTGCACTTATCTGCCTTCCATCAGCTGAGATCTGATACCTTGTTATGTGCTACTGAACTTTGTAGTTCACCCTTGCTCATCATATTACTATGTAAAGCGCTGAGCAAACTTTTTGGCGCTATATAAATACTGTATAATAATAATATTGCTCTAATAAAGCTGCACTCCAGGCTAATACAAACATGAAACACATCTATGAAAGCTATTTTACCTGCCAAAGGATTTGTATTTCTGTCCATCGAGTCCTGAGATTTACAAAGCTCTGCTACACAGCACAACCCTGTTTGGCATGCAAGGAGACCTGATTTCTCTCTGCTGCAGTGAGGGTGGTTTTTACGCCGTGGCGCTACGGTGCACGGTTTTTGTGCAGGTTGCCAGCGGTTTCCCATAGACAACTATTAGATTGCACCATTTTTGTGTTTTCTGAAAACACACCAAAAGCCCTGCATGCTACATCTTTGGTGCGATTTCAGAAAATGCGCCAAAAACGTGATCTGAAAGAAGTCTAAGGGAAACCCCAGGTAACCTGCGTGAAAACCTCTGCTACACTGTACTGCACCTACTCTGCGGCTAAACCGTAGCACAGCAGTATGAAACCACCCTTAAATGACCTTTAAGCTGGGTACACACAAATGAAAAATGAAAAGATCCCCGCATCCACACAAGG